TCGTTTGGAATGCATGGACTGGTTCACATTGAACATGGATAGTTAGTTGATAATCATTGTGCTAAATGTTGCATTTGTCCTATACTCCTATGTTATATTTGGGGTCCTGTTATCCCCAACGGAATGTATGTGTGGGGTGATGATCCCTCTGCTTATGATATTTGAAAAATGGATTACAGGGAAACGTGCCATCTGAGCAAGATTGCTCCGTGCTGAAGCAACTTGTACATTCTTCTTGACAATGCTTGCTGCCCCATTGGTTTTTTTGCTAAATTGTTTGCCCCATTGGATAAACCATTCCATTATGGCCAGAATACTTATCAAGTTATCATGTGTTATCAAGTTGGGAGTAAATGGTGTATAGTCAAACAGTAGCTGCGGCCTGGAGGGTATGCATTATCAGAGCCAAAATGTGGAGTTAGGGACTTGGGGGTCGGAGTTTGAAAATTTTATTCATATGTTTATATATTAGAATTTTTTCTTTTGGTGGGGGGGGGGGGGGGGGGTCGAGGCTTCCTCCAGTTCCTCTTGTCTTCACCATGTGCTGGCTAATAGCAATCATGTGAAATCAAGGTTGTTAAAATCTCAATTTAAATCGTAAAATCGTACGATTTTACGATTCTACATTAATAAAGCGATTCAAATCGCAGGTAAAATCGTAAAATCATAAAATCGTACAAAATCGTAAAAAAATCGTCCTAAAATCGTGTAAAATCGTATGAAATCGTAGCAAAATCGTAGCAAAATCGTAATAAGTTGTTTTTGGTGAAAATGGTTCAAATTTATTAAAATTAACAACTACAAATTGATACATAATTCCAATAATAATAATATGAATAGTTTATTTATAAAAGTAATGGATTCTTGTGTCACTTAATTATTTTTATGTTTTACATATGTTTAATGGTATTATTCAATACATTTACATTATAAAAACAGTTTATAAATCTTGCTTTTGACATTTTAGGTATAGTTTCATGTAATGAAATGATATAATATCATTAACTTGCAACTTAATTTTAATATTTATTTATTTTATAATTATTAAAATATGTTTGGTAAAATCTTACGATTTGCGATTCGATTTTACGATTCGATTTTTAAAAACATCTACCGATTCGATTCAAAAATACGATTTTAACAACATTGTGTGAAATACGATGAACAATTGAATATGTAATGCCCCGCTCTCTTAACTATGGAACTAAGAAAAAACAACCAATACGTTTTTGTTCAATCTATTTTGGTTCAGAGATATCACTGAAAGTTTCGAAATGAAAGTTTTGTTTTTTCAGCTCAATAAATGGCCAGAACCCATCAATGTTGACGCTACTGCCCATTTGATACGATGTTTCTAGCTTTTGGCCCTCTTCAAAATCTCTAACGTTAGGTACCCAATAATGCAATCCTGTTTTTGTAAAAAAGAAAGGGATAATTTGAGTTTGCACCTCATTTTATTGTCCAAAACTCCAAAATGAACTTTGAACCCATTTTTTAAAAACTTTGTTTTTGCACTCCATTCATCATATTCCCAATCAAGGGGCATTTTTGTCTTTTCATACGGGGTTGGGGGTGCAAAAAACATACTTCCTCCGTTCTTAAATAAATGCAACACTTTCCTTTTTCGACAGTTTCATATTAAATGCAACACTTCTATTTTAGGAAGGAAATATTATCCAAACAGACTTTTATACCCTCAACTATTTACTCCCTCTTCTGACATTTCCTTTAACACAGGAACCCACCCATTTCATTCCGGCCTCTTTACTGCCCCTTCTCCTCCACCGACTCTCTTCACCCACTCAGCCATTTCTTTATTTCTCTCTTCACCATCTTCTTCACTTAATTTTGTTTTCTCATATTTGTACTTCAGTTACCGTTGAAATGAAAGACGTGAACAGAGGTGGAACTGATATTTCTCCGGCTACTCCGCCATGAGTATCTACTTCTGATCTGGTGGTTCCGGATACTAAAAAAACTACTGATGTCCTTGATTTCTGCTGGTGCGGCTGCTTGAGGAGAAGGAACGAAAACAAAAATCACTGTTACGGCTAAGTGTAGAAAAGAATTGATGATCTCCTGGCGGCTGGACTCTCTACGAACAAGAAGAATAGCATAAAAACTACTCCTACGGCTGCTTGTTTCTGAAAAGAAAAAAACGCTGGTTGCTTGCTTGGAGAAGAAATTGATAGACTCCACTGCTGCGGCTAAGTGTGATCCTCAGAATCAATGAAGCTTCTTCCGTCTAATTTTGTTTATGGTGAAGAGGGTGCGGTCGAAGTTAGTGCCGAAGGACAGAGTTTACCTTGACCGATGTGACTGTAGCACTTTATGTGCTTTATTGTTTTGTCCCTATAGTGGAGGGCAAAATAGGAAAGATAATTACTGTTCCTTTACTTCTTAATATCTGTGCCCAGCCCTATGTTGCATTCTTTTCCGAACAGAGGAAGTAATGTTTTTCAAAAACAGAATGCAAAGTCCAATTTGGACTATAAAATGAGGTGCAAACTCAAATTACCCCAAAAAGAAACACTTTCGTGCATCTGGATGGAGCTAGGGATAGACTCGGACCGAGTCGGGCTTGGTCTTTGCGGGTTTCGGTACTGCAGAATTCAAGCCCGGTATCGCTTCCAAGTCAGGCCCAAACAGTACTGGTCCCGGGCCGGTACCTGCTTTTTTTTAAAACTAGACGTTTGGCTCAGGACCGCCTGTATTTACCCTTGGGCTGGGCCCGCACCGGTACTGGAAAACCGGGTCCGGGCCGGTACCAAACAGTATCGGTCCCGGACTCCCGGGACGGGCCGCTCGGGCATAGTCCACCACTATATGAGCCTGGCGGGCTACATGCCATCTTTAAAATAACCATGGTTGTCACTTTCCAAGCTTTTTGTCTAATTTCAATTAGGTTCTTTAATTTGTTTCAATCTCTTCTAACGTTTTTAAGAAAATAAGTATTTTGTGCATAATTTAAACTTTTACTAAATGTACCACATCTAAGTGAGAGCACTTGCATATAAAAGTGATTAAATAAAGAAATTACTGTGAGTTGGTTATTCACGGTGTCCTTATTTATTTCAATGAATTTTGCATCATTAACTTTCGGATGAAATAAAAAACATACAAATTATGTTGCAAAACTTTTTGCAAATGAGAGAAAGATAACATTTCTCACTAAATGCAAAATGACAAATTTTAGTAAAAAATTTCAGTTAGCAATGGTACTGTGGGATAAAGTAAAGAGAGCATATGGATACAATCCGCTCACGGTAAAACTTCTTACGAGTTTAATGTACTTTTGTCTTCAACAAGTGAGTAAACATTTAATGCAGGGAAAGGGGCAAATAAGGTCACGTACTAACAAAAAATGTCAAATAAGGCCTTATTTATGAGGCTCTGTCCGGCCTTCGCCATTTGGAGTGGTTCTTGGTGGAATTTTTTGATGAAATTTTTTGAGCATCTTATTCATTAAGTCTAGTTTACTCATACCAAATTTCAGCTAACAATTCAATTGGGAAGACATTCAAATGAATTCTTGAAGATAATTGCGCTTTTAACTGCACAGTTATCTTCAAGAATTCATTTGAATGTCTTCCCAATTGAAGTTTTAGCTGAAATTTGGTATGAGTAAACTAGACTTACTGAATAAGATGCTCAAAAAATTTCATCAAAAAATTCCTCCGGGAACCACCCCAAATGGCGACGGCCGGACAAAGCCTGTTAAATAAAGTCTTATTTAACCTTTTTTGGTTAGTACGTGACCTTATTTGCCCCTTTTCTCTTTAATGCAGGGGAAAGTATTTGGTTGTCTTATTGATTAAATGGTGTTAATGGCATCAATAATTCATTAATCTTAAGAATAGATCTTAGTTAATGGTGTTGTAGATGCACATGGTTTCAAGTTAGTATCAGCTAAAAAGGAATACAAGGGAATACTGAAAAAGGGATACAAGGATTATTTAGAACTTTGGGGCAATATAATCTAAAAGAACTATAATTATGACAATCGTATAATTAGACTAGATATATGCAGTGGCGTATCCAGAAAATTCGGCCAGTGGGGGCAAATTTACACTACGTTATCACACAATTTTTAGGTAATAAATATTAATAAAAAAAGTCAACAATTTATTAAAAAAATAATAATTTTTTTATAAGAAACATATGAAATATGTAATTATAAATTTATAACTAATTTAAGTTACAAATAAACAAGTGTGTTTTAATATTAGGTGTGAAAAGATGTGATTGAAATTACATATCATTTAATAGTTGCATTAAAATAAATTATTTTTAACTAATTTGGATCTTAGGTTAAGAGTGTTAGACATTCTATTGTTTATTACATGCAAAACCAAAAATATATAAGAAATGGATGAAATATGTAATTATAAGTAATTTAAGTTATAAATAAACAAACAAGTTTTAATATTAAGTGTAAAAATATGTTATTGAAGTTTTAACATACGGAGTATCATTTATTAGCTACATTTAAAAACATTAATTTGAATGTTATATTGGACAAATTTTAAAGAGTTTGGGGCAAAAAATTAATCCACTCTCAAAGTGGCCAGAGAGATTCGAACTTGGGCACACCAGCAGAGTGTCCATCACTCATACCAGCAGGCTACGGAACTTGGTTTGTCATTATGGATGCTAAATTTGTATTATTCATATATAATAGAATATATAAATATATAAAAATTTGATATATATATAATAGGGTTAGGTGGTGTTGAGTGGGGGCAGCTGCCCCCCTGCCCCCATAGTAGATACGCCCCTGGATATATGCACATCTATTCAATTTTTTTGTTGACAATCTTCTTAATCTATTATAGTATCTGTCTGTTCAATGTTATGACTAACATCTTGAATTCGGATGAGATTCAAACTTGTGACCTCGAAGTATCATAATGATGCTACAAGGTATTTTTCGCACGTCCATTCAATTAAAAAGGGATGGAATCTTTTATATTCAGTCAAATTTTATGAAAATAGTGCTGTTCATTTGTGTTTATTTGAAGGACTAAAATTGGGTTGGCCAAACCTAAAAAAAGGATCGCACCAAAGATGTTTGAACAGTTATCTCCTCGGCCCATGTCGTTACTCGAATAGGTGATTCAACCCGTTTTTCAAGACTTCCCAATCCAAGAGATCCCTATTCATCTCATGCGCTATCTCTCACTGCTTCTTCCCGGATCGATCGCAGGTGATCAAGGCACAGCTGCTCTTGAGGTATGTATATTTATTCACAAAAGCGTTTAATTTATCCTCAGCGGACTTTTCTTACTCCGTTACTCGAACCCGTGGAGACGCCAATCCATGAACTAAACGGGTCATTTTTAAGGGTTGACCCAGATGATGTGCTAGCGGTAAATTTCATGCTTCTGCTATAAAATCTGTTAGATGAGACCGCTTCCATTATCGAGACCGCACTGAAGCTCGCGAAATAGTTGAATTCGGGTGCGGTAACTTCGGGCGAAAACGTTTAGTATAATCTAAGGCGTATAGTAAAGAGTTTAGTATAGTAATGATGAAGATAAAGAAAAATGGATGGTTCTGATGGAAAGTGCAGGTTTTGAACGTTACCCCTTAGCCATTATACAATGAGTCAAGCTAAAATCCTTCTCTGGAATTAGAATTCTAATTACAGTTCATCTTATGGCGTATAGATTCTCCCCTCGGATTTCTCTCCTTAGCTCGGTATGACGAACCTCTCCTCTCTGTTTCTTCATGGCACTGAATGGATTTAAAAAAATGTGGATTTATCTAGAGCTGGTCTTTCTCTGTGGTGTTAACTCTTCCACCAATTCCCAAAGTTTGACGTTTTTTATGAGCAAGATTTAGTATAGTTTGAGAATTTTGAGCTGTTATAGTTTAGAAAAAACACTCGAGATGTATTTTAGTTTTTGCATCTCTGTTCATATCTTTGGTGCCTTTTTTGCCCAGGTTTTTTGTTTTGAGTTTTTTTGATTGAGTTAAGTAAGAGTATATTATCTTCTGCACCTGATTTTTGGAGGTGGGTTGAAATGTAGGAAACACAATTAAGTTTTAACTGTGTATATGTGTTGATTGCTTTCTATCATTTTCAATGGAGCCAAAGACTCAATTTTTTTTGGATTAGGTATAGGATGGAATAAAGCAAAATGGCTCAGACCGCTTCTTTGTTACGAAGCAGTAGTCTGTCCATGCAATTTTCAACGAGTTTTTCATCATGGGTCATCCGGAAACGGTCTTTCTGTGCTTTAGTTCAGGAGTAAGGGTGGATATATCCAACCCAACCTTACCCCACTGTAGGTGGGAGCCTTCGTGGGACTGAGCTAATGTTGTTGTTGTATATGTATTGGTTTGCTATTAAATATTAATATATGGATTTACATTAACAATTAATTATTTGGTCTAACCTATGTAGCACAGAAACTATCGAGAAAGAGTACGTTTCCCGTTTCGGAAACTCTCGGAAATTCTTTGGAAACTCTCCAAATAAGCCTTTTTTGAGCAAAAGTTGATGTTTCCCGTTTCCTGTTTCCTCGTGATTTTCGCGTTTCCGTGCAACATAGGGTCTAACCGATTGCTTTTTTGTTTCTGTTTTTTTTTTGTATTTATAGCCTAATAGATTGCTTTTTAGCCAGTAACCAGTTTGGTATTTATCTCATCCACTTGACATTGTTAGTTTACTGGTTAACAATTTTTATTTTTTTTATTTTTTGTATAGTTTGAGAATTCTGAGCTCTTATAGTTTAGAAAACACACTGAAGGTGTTTATTTGGTGCCTTTCTTGCCCAGGCTTTTTGTTTTGGAGTTTTTTTTTGGTTAAGTAAGAGTATATTATCTCTTGCACCTGTTTTATGGAGGTGGGTACCCCTACTTGTCTTTAGCCAGAGTTGGGGCTTTTGCTTGGACAATTCCCACTGAACACTGTAGAAACTCTACCATCTTCTGACATGACTTCCCCAAAACTACAAAGCTATGATATTCTTGTTAGAAGAAAGTGGGTTTTTCCCTCTCCTAGAAACAAGAAATTAATTATTGTGAAGGGTTTCAAGACAATATAATAGCTGTTACAATAGACTATTGTTGAAGGCTGTTATTATAAAGCTTCATGAGTTCTTCATTGAATTAGGCTTTGCTTTAAATGATGGGGGAAAAGGGAGTGGGACCTCGTCACAGCCGCAAACAGCTAGCTGTCCATCTAATAGTTTCTGGCCTTATGAAACATAAGCAGTACCTAGCAAAAGATTATGATATACTCTGTATTTTACATTTAAAACATATTATATTTTAATGACACACGGTGCTATAATCTCTATTAATGAAATACTTCATAATGTCTTTATTGGAACAAGGCTAGTTTCTGGCCTTTTTTTATCAACTCTTGTGCATCCTACTTGTTTCTAGCTGAGTAGCTGACCAAAAATATTCTTCTTTCTGGTTTAGGATGTTCTATGGATTATTCAGAGTACCTTTTCATTCTCTAAATTAACATGTAAATTTGTGCTGCGTGGCGATTAAGAAAGAAAAAGTAAAATACGTGGTTGATTTTTTAGCACTTGTATTTTATATATCATAAATTTGTTTCAATTCGTACTTTTGTAATTACAGTTTGTCATTTATATTGCCGGTTGGATCTTTCAGATGTCGTCTAAGAAAGATCAGGGGAGTTACTTTATTTGGTCAAATGAAACTGTTGGAATTTTTAATGAAATATGCATCCAGTTCATTCTTAAGAGAGGGAGGGGACAACAATTTAGGTGGAAGCAAATACAAGCTTTATTTGAGGAGAGAACAAAAAGAAAGTGTTCTTCAAAAAGCTTGAAAAACAAGTTTGACTTTATGAAAAAAGATTGGCGATTGTGGAAATTATTGAAACGTGATGAGATCGGATTGAGTTGGAATGCAGCCATTGGGACGCTGGATTGTTCTGATGAATGGTGGAATAAGAAAATCAAGGTATATGTATCATTTCGCTCATTACCTTAGAACTGGGATTATTGTCATAAATTTAAAGTAAGAATTTTCTTTGTAGGAAAAGACGGAACTAAAGAAGTTCAAGCATAAAGGAATTCCAAAGAACATTGAAGAGCAATGGGATCAAATATTTGGAGACTCAATAGCAACTGGAGTAGAATGTGTGGCTCCAAGTGCTACAATGGAGGAGAATAACAATCAAGAAAATCATCAAGAAACTGTCCATGATAATGCCGATGATTATGAGGTGTACAAGAGTTGTAGTGCCCAACTAGATGAGGGTAATTTATTTCAAAATTTTGTGCATGAGGCTAGTGCAAATGGTCATTCTATTCCTACATCTACGACTGCTGAAGATGCGGGGACCAATGTCATTAGTAAGAAGCGCAAACTAAGGCAGTCTAAGGAGTTGGTTAAACTTAGTGAAATTTTAGAGAAGGGAAATACATGTCTTCAAGCAATTGAGCGTCTATTGGCAAAAAAGGAGAAGGTTGTTGATGATTGTGTAAGTGTAGGTCATGTCATGGAAATAATGACCAGAATGGCTGATAATGGTGGGCTGGTGAGGAGTGGGAACTTATGGTTTCATAGCATTTGTGTTCTCGATAGTCCAAGTAGAAGACAATTCTTTATCCACTTTAAAGATGATGACGAAAGGCTCAATTGGCTGAAATTTATGCAGGCAAAAGAAATGTTTTGAATATGTTTAGTATGTTATTTGTTTATACATATTTAATATGTTATCTCATTAAGAAGATTTAGGATACAAATTCCTTTATTTAGGTTGGATATTTAATTTTGACTTCTATATGTTTCGGATTTAAGTGATTTGTTTTCTTACGATTAGTATGATTGTATTATTATATTCATTTATTCATCTATTTATAGTGATATCATGAATGATGAATCACGGTGAAGAGGGTTATTTTACGTTTAAACATTTGACACTTAGAGGGAAACTATCAATATCTTATTGATAACACCCTCCTCCCTAAACCAGTAGGTAGCTAGGTATTTAAAAACAGGAAAAAGGGTTATATACACCAGGGCCGGTCCTAGAAATCTAGAATATTAAAGTGGAAATTACCCCTTTGGGCCACTTTTGTGGCCCGTATACCATTAAAGTCTCAACTACTTTTTTCTTTCAGTTTTAAACTTTTATCTTTTCACTTTTGTTTTTTTATTTCAGTTGTAGACCGTTTCTGCCAACCTCGAGCCAAGGGAAGCAACGTTTTGCATGTTCTACAACATTCTTTCTTTTTCGCGGTTTCCTTCTCTGCTTCAACTTCATCTTCGCTCGTCTCCTTCCCTCATCTCCTTCGCTCATCTCTTTCAATTTTTTTCTTCTCTCTTCTTCATCCTGTGCATGTTTATCATTTCAGAACTATGTCAAGTTCAATTCCTCGTCGTATTACCAGATTGTCTGCAGCATTGAATAAAGGAAGTGATTCTGAGGCTAAAGGAAGTGATTCTGAGGCTAAAGGAAGTGAATATGAGGCTCGCAGTTCTTCATCCTCCCCTTCTGGTACAAGTTCTGATGTTGATGGGAAGAAGAGAACAAACGAGAATACTCCTCGCCGTACTACTAGGGCGTCCGCTGCATTACGTAATAAGGGAAGTGATTCTGTGGCTCACAGTTGTTCTGATTCCGATTCTGGAAGTAGAAGTTCTAATCTCGTTGGCAAGAAGAGAAAAAACGAAAATGCTTCTAAGGCTGTGAAGAAGAGGGCTAAAGTTTCTGATAAGGCAAAAGGGAAGAAGTCTAAGATCTCCGTCGATAAGAGGAAAATTAAAATCAAACCTGGCGGATTTAAGGTAATTACTTATCGCCTTGGTATATTTACATTATGGTTTCTATTTTTGTATTTAATTTGTTGTTTCATTCGTTTAACTTTGATTTTATTTCAATTTTTGATTTCTCTTTGTTTTTTGTCGTGTTTTTTTACTCCAGGAATGGGAGTATTTTGTTCCATGTGATTCCTGGTTTAACAGTAGGGTTTCTAGCTATAACAAAGATTGCATTGCGTCTAATCTGAAGGCGAAATTGACTGATGCTCAATTGCGTTTATTTAGTGAAACTTGCTTTGGTAAATTTCTAGATTTTCAAGACCTCAAATTTCAGCCTCAAGTTGTTCATTGATTGCTTTTGAGAGAACTTAGTCACAGTGTTCCAAATGAGATGTGGTTTGAAGTTTCTGGTTTTCGTTTGCGTTTCTCCATTGCTGAATTTGCTGTTGTTACTGGTTTAAAGTGTTCTGGTCAATTTGATGAGTCTACTCTTACTTCATTAGACAACAATGACCTCATCAAAAAATATTTCAACAACTCTTCTAAAGTCAGTCGTGAAGCAATTACAACTTGTTTTCTCGGTCAACGTGCGGATTGTGATGAAGATGCTGTGAAAATTGCCATTCTATATGTTATTGGTTTGTTCTTGTTTACTTCGCCTAAGGAAAAGTTTATTCGTGAAAGTTATGTTGCTGTTGTGAATGCTGGTTTGTGGGAATTGTACCCTTGGGGGAAGGACCTTTTTGATATAACTTTGCAAAATTTGAAAGGCAGACTCATGAGAGCGGATACTATAAAAAGTGATTATTTCTTTTACCGTATTCTGGGATTTCCTTTAGCACTTCAGGTGTGGTTTTATGAGTGTTGTGATTTCTGTGATGGCGTTTTTGCTTCAAGATCCGGTTCTCTAGTTCCCCGTATACTGTCTTGGCACTCATCTGTTCCGCTCACATTTTGAATATGGAACTTCTGTGTTTATCTGCTTCTCAGGTATTTTTTTTAAAAATCTTGTTTTCCTTGTTTTAGGTTTTTTTATTAATCTTTTATTTAATTTTCAAAATTTATTCTTTTGTTTTTCTATTATGCAGTTGAAGTTACACAATCTTGTTCTCTCTGATGTTGAAAAAGAATCCCCTGAATTTGATGCTTTGTTTGCTGCTAATATCTTAAGGCCCCAAAGTGTTCCTTCTACTTCAAATGCTGGGGAGGTGCCTCATGTTTTTTCTGGCGATGCTTTATCAAGCTCTGCTTTATTTGACTTTGAAAAACGTCTAGATAGTAAACTTGCAGATTTCAAGGAATTTGTTCAGGGAAAGTTTAGTGTTTTAGAACAGAAGCTTGATCATGTTATATCACTTGCTGACTTTCGCTCTTCCAAGCAGCCAGACTTTCACTCTTCTAAGCAGAATTCAGGTTTTGTATCCTCGCACCAAACTCCTCGTAGACAAGCTCCAGTTTCTGAAAACAATGTTTCTGAAGATGATGCTACACTTGTTCTTTCTCTTAATGAGATTGATTCTCACTTTGTTGCTACTAATGAGTTTCTCATGTTGATCTTGACTGTGGTCTGTTACATGATCCAATATTTTCTACTGATCCTTGTGTGAATGCCATAGATAATCAACAGGTTTGTTTTTTGATATGTTGCATTATGTTTGACATTGTTTTATTTTGTTTCCTTCTTTGGTTTAAGGTTTTTTGTCATTACTAGTTTATGAACTATTTTTTTAGAGGAGTTGTTGCCTGATAGTGTTGCAGCTGTTTCTTCGTTTGAAGATTCTGATGCCCTATTTAATTTCATGAACAGTCTAGTTTTTTCAGCTGTTACTAATTCAATGTCAAATGAGCACGATTCCTTGATGATGGACTATGTTCATAATGTTGTTTTATCTAGTGTTACTGATATGCACCATTGTGAACTTGATTCTATGTTGTTGGAGCATTGCCAAAAGATGGTTTTTTCTACTGTTATTGATATAATGACTGTTGATCAACCACCAAATGATCAACAACCAGTTTCTCCCTCTGATGATGGGGTTAATGATGAATCTTTTTATGCTGAACTGGATTCTCTTGTTTCACATTTTAATAGTGCTAAGGTATTGAATTTATTTTCTTTTTTCTTTAGCTTTTGTTCTCATTTTATGTTTGTTTTAATATTCAGTTTTATTTATGTAGTTGTTGAGCACAGATCCTGCTTGTGGTTCTCCAGAACCTACGATGGCTTTAGTTCCTTTTGTTACACCTATATCAGTTGTTCATATTGATGAATCCAATGTTGAGCATAAAAGGAATATTAAGCCTAGTGTTTTCGTCAAATCTCCTTTTGTTGTTGAGTTTACTTCGGGATGTGAGTCTGCACCGTCTTCTGTTGAATCGTTCCCATGTCCTTTTCTTGATGAAGCAGTCTGTGTCCCAGCATATGATGATCTTTCGTCTTTTAATGTTTGGATCGACGAAAAAGCTTATAAGCGGAAGAGGTCTGTTTATAATTATCATTATATATTATAGAATTTAGAATATCTTTGTTTTTAACTAAATGTTTTATTATTTTGTAGATTAAAGTTAATGTATCCTGAGAAAGTTGATCATCTCAGTCCTGGGTTTGACTTTACTGTTGCTTTTGTGGAATCTAAGACATGGTTCCATAGTCTTCACTACGCTGGTGAAATGCTATCAGATTCTGTATGTTTATTTACTTTTATATATATATTGTTTCTCTTGTTTTGTTGTTGTTGCATGTTGTTGTTTTGTGTTTCTTTATGTTTATTTTTGTTGCAAGTTTTGAATAAGTTGTTTTTTCTTGTTTATATTTGTTTATTTATTATTATTTTTTCTAATATTTTCCTTTTTCGTGCAGCATATCGATGTGATCTTTCATTATTTTAGGAAAAAAGCGGCAGTTACTAAGATATGCAAATGCAGTTTCACAACAACTGATGTTCTTTTTCAAGTTAGTATGGAAAGAGCATATGCTGCAACCTTGGACAAGACATTTTGTTGGTCAAGTTTTGCAAGTATATGTGATACTATTGGAGGCTTGCAGTTGCCCTATTCTAAGCCTTGGGATGAAGTTGAACATGTTCTCATGCCATTGTACATTAAGAAACAGATGCATTGGATTCTTGCTAGGTTTTGCATCAAAGATTGGTGCATTTATGTTTATAATTCACTGAACAGTTACAGGGATGCATCTCTTGCTAAAGAAGTTGTGAAACCACTACTTGTTATGCTCCCATTGTTTTTTCGACACATGGATCACTTTTCTAAGCATGGATTTGGTATTCAAAGGGATATAAAGCTGAATTTTGTGCCTGACTTGCCTGTCCAACTGTCAAATATGTCCTCGAACTTTCACAAAAAGTTCAATTAAGTCCTTCTATAGGAGGTTCTGTCCGGCCGTCGCGATTTGGGGCAGTTCCCGGTGGAATTTTTTGATGAAATTTTTTGAGAATCTTATTCACCAAGTCTAGTTTACTCATACCAAATTTCAGCTAAAAATTCAATCGGGAACACATTCAAATTAATTCTTGAAGATAACTGCGCATTTTTGCGTTCTCGAATTAATTTGAATGCTCTCCCGATTAAATTTTTAGCTGAAATTTGGTATGAGTAAACTAGACTTGAGGAATAAGATGCTCAAAAAAATTCATCAATAAATTCCACCGAGAACCGCCCCAAATCGCGACGACCGGACAGAGTCTCCTATAGAAGGACTTAATTGACTTTTTTATGAAAGTTCGAGGACCTATTTGACAGTTTTCCCTTTTTTATATTTTGTTTACGTTTCTACTATTAACAATTTTTTTATTGTACTTTTTTGTAGTGACTGTGGTGCTTTTGTTGCTGCTTTTGCCGAGTATTTTATCGATAACATAGCGGTTCTAGAATTTTTGGACATTGACCTTTACAGGAGCAGGCTTTCATACTTTCTCTACCAATATGGATTGTCCAAAATAAATGGTGAAGTCCAGAGTGATGCTGAGCAAATCAAACCCAAGAGGAAGAGGCTGAAGAAGTTAATTCAATAGATGTAGCAAGAATTAATGTACTTTTGTTTTGTGATCTTGTAATGTAAAAACCAGATATGAACCTGTT